TCTCTCTCATTCTCTTTTCTATAGAAATACGAAGAACTTTATTCGAGCGAGAAGATAAAAAGAGGAACCATTGGGCAACGATTCTTGCCAAATAGATATATATATATATATATATATATATATATATATATATATATATAAAGATAGATAAAGAAAAAGATTTTTTTAGATTTTTTATGATATATACATAGGTTTATATATATACATCTATATATATAATATAAAGATAGATAAAGAAAAATAAATTATTTAAAAAATTTTTTCAAGCTTCTGTCGGTAATGTTCTCTTTTTCTATTTCTAGGTCATGGAATAAAATAGAAAAGAATGGAAAAGAAAAGGAAAGGAAAGAAAAAGAAAAGAAAAGAAAAGAGAACGTTCGTTCTTCTTTTAAGCCAACGAAGAAACGCTTTCCACGGCCCTACGATAGTTACGAGGTTACGCTTCCTGAATCTTATTGTATGTTGAAAAATGAAATGTGAACGCGGACAATGTAGAGAAAGAAAAAGAGCAAGGGAGAGACATAGAAAGAGAGGAAGAAGGTGGGAAAGAGGGAGAGGAAAAAGGAAGGAAGGGATGAGGAAACGCCAGGTGCAACGAATGCATCGAAGTGATCGAGTTTTATCTTCGTGCGAAAGTGCCATGTATTATCGATCGCTTTACTTTTTTCATTCGATCTTTATTTGCAATTTAAAATACATACATAAATACATACCCTATATACATACAAATATATATATATATATATATTTATTATCAGATTGATCTAAAAAATTTCTAAGTTCGTAGTTTGAAAATTTAAAAGAAAATTAGGAGGCTATAGAAAAAGATAGTAAATTGATTTTTAAAATCCAGTCCAGAAATTCTTTACTCATCCTATATATATATATATATATATATATATATATATATATATGTATAATTATTTCAAGATATAATCTTATGTAATTTGTTATTCTGAGAAGATTTAATGTAAAAAAAAAAATGTGTATTAATGTAAATTAATGTGTTAAAATATTCGAAATAATTTCGAAAGAGTTGATGAAAAAAATTGAGTTGGAGGATCTAGAAATGATCGAAAGACGACTTTTTGAAGGGCGTTCTCCTCGCGAAAGCTCCTCTTAGGAATGCAAGAGAGGAAGAATAGGGACCCTTCGGGTCGTCATGACAACGTGAACTAGTGGTCTCCTGACCCCCTCGCTTCAGCCCCAAGCCAACCCAACTCAACCCCCCCTCCCCTCCCATGAATACATACATATTTATGTATTCAGCCTGTGTCGTCGTAGCCAAGCCAAGCGAAGCGATTAAATCTCTCGGTGATCTTCGATGACGATGTGAGCGTGCATGCATCGGCGAAAAGCCAAATCGATCGCAACACGCCTAATCTCCGTTGGGAATAAAATATCGAGTTCGAAAATAACAGCGTTAAGTGATACGATGGTTTCGCGTGATCGATCGATTTAATAACAATGTACGTATTTCCCTTATCTATGTTAGATATTATTCCTTTTAATTGAAAATAATAAGTTATTTGTTTTATAATAATTGATCCAAATATAATTCAACAATATTATTTAACAGTAATAATAAGCAATTTTTATTTATGTCATTAAAAATATGTTTTGCAAAAATTGTAAAAATTATCGTCACGATTCTCGATGTAAAATTTCTTTAAAGAAATTTAATTATTATTACGGAATAATTTTATCTGCATTCTCTCTTGAAGATACTCGAAAGTAAACAATTTAACGACCTACATTTATGTAATATTGTTATTTTCTTCTTATTTTTATAATAAATAGTACGAGGTTCTGTTTTCTCTGAGCCTAAAGCTCGGCACCATATTAATGAGATACTCTCTTGATATATGTGTATATATATATATATATATATATATATATATATATATATATACATATAACTTTATATACTCGTAATATATAATGTACCTTTTTTAAGCTTTTTGCACCTTGGACTTGTTTTCGAAAAATGATGAACGACTCGATCCGAATAACATCGATAACGTTTGATCGAAATGGTAATCGAGGAATTAGATTGACGAAAAATATTTTATAGTAAAAATATATATATATATATATATATATATATATATATATAGAAGGGATGAGTATATTTTTATATAAATAAACGTTATTCGATATCAGCGTTTTATTCGTATACCCGAAAGACGCCGCATTTTATCATCATATCTTATCTAACACTAGAATATTTCTTCTTTTTTTTTTTCTTTTCTTCATTGCAACCCAATGCTAATTAGAATTTCGTTAAATCAGCAGATCAATCAATTGAACGTGTCAACGAAAAGAAACCATTTCTCAATGGTGTTAAATTATCGGATATTTTTCTTTGCGATACAACTTTCGAAGAGTTGCAGCGAGCAACGAAAAAGAAAAAAGAAAAAAAGAAAAAGAAAAAAAAAGAATAAAGTAATACAAAAAAATCTAATGGTAGAAATGGCGAATACGTCAGATGCTTTTGCGTGTTGGAATTTTACTCTACTTGAATTGGCGACGACTTTTTATTCGGCCTCGTAAAGCTCGATACGCAACAAGATCAAATCGAAAAATATACGTGTACGTATTATTCGTGTACATAAATACGTATATACACAATATAATAATCATTCACTTATTTGGCGCATCGTAAATTTGTGCCAATAATTTCGATTCGCTTTATAATATCTATTTTAATTTTTCTTTTATTTTTTTTTTTTTTTTTATTGTATTATTTTATTTTTATTCGAAATTTCCAACAGTTTATACGACCGGTAGAATATGTAAATCGATATTGCAAAAGGATCGTACGATATTATATACATAATAGATTACAAAATTAATCTATATTTTATTTGTGAAATCTGGTAATGAAAGATAATATCATTTTTGTATCAATCTAATGGGTTAGATCTTTCGATAAGTCGAATGAAAAAATCGATTGATTAGATTTGTTATTTATTAGATCGGAATTTTGACGTCAGGAAAAGGAATTTTTCGACCTTTAGAATAAACGAAACCTCCTTTTGATTCTTCCTACATATGTATATTCAATGTCTTTCCAATCAATTTTATTTTTTTTTTGAATAAAATTGACAGGTTAAAATCTCGAGGTCATATAACTTCTCGATTTGAGAAATAATTATTATATATATATATATATATATATATTCGTATAAATTTCGTACAAACCAAATAAATATTGATGATAGATGAATTGAAAAGTCATCTTATACTGAGACATTTATTAAGTTAAACTAACATTAAAGATAATAACTTTCTTCGACTTTGCTCGCTGAAGATATTTACGCACTTTGTAATAAGTGATAACGAACACGTTGCTTCGTTTTTTAGAATGATAGTAAGAACGAATAAACGAACGAACGAATGAACGAACGAACAAACGAACTAAAGTATGTACGTACATACGTATATAAATAAGTACCAACATGTATAAATCTTGCCAGGTTTATCATTTATCATAATTTTTTTTCTTTCTGTCACTTATTTTTTTCTACAGAATGCAAATGAAAGAAGAGAATGAAATAGACAAAGGAAATAAACGAAATAAAATTCTTCTTAATATTTGCAAATTAAAAGAGAAAAAATATATAAAAGGAAGACAAATTGTAGAAAGTCTTTTGATCTAGATAAAGCAATATATAAAACATCTAATCTAATCTAATCTCTTTCGATGTCGTGAAATTCAATTACTTCGGCACATTCGTTACATATAATCTCATAACAATATCAAGTATTAAACGTACATATCATATATTTATATATATATATATATATATATATATATATATATACATATCTTAATCTTTTCAATATCTTTTGTTAAAATTCAATTATTTGAGAAAATTTGTGGATGATCACTCTATTTATAAAAAAAACAATTTTTTTCTTTTTTTTATCCTTGAACAATTTGAACTTGATATATTATGTATATATATATATATGTATATATAAATAATCATTATATCGTTTGAAACGTTTGAACGTTATTACGGTAAAGATTCTCTTTCAATTTATTCGTTTCGTCATGAAGCTAAAGAATTTCTTCTATATACTACTAAACGAATCGCGTGATATGCGCATGCATATCGATGAACCTCGTAGGGGGTCTTTCCTTCTGTTATATTAGCTTAATTGAAGCAATGATTTAAATGCCCTCTAAATGGAGAGAAGGCGCATTGTAATATCGGTCTGCCAGCTTGTCTGACGAACATACGTTTTGATTAAACGATAACTCCACGTATATGTATATAAATATGTATATAAATATATATATATATAAATATATATATATATATATATATAAATATTTAAATGCATATGTAGTTGCATAAAGACATTTACATAACGTTACAAAGGAACACCTGCATTCTTAAACATTGATTGATATTCAATTAGAAATAATATTTGATTGCGAAAGAGAGTTCTAATGAGTCATTTCGTTATATAAAAAAAAAAAAAAAGAAAGAAATATGTTTTCCTTGATTTGTATTGATCTATCGACAAATTCCTCGATAGGGGGAAAAAATATAATTGAACGACTTGGATCGTTTACACGATCATTGGATTCATCTCATTGCGATCATACACGTACATAGATATTTATATATGTATGTATATACATTAATATAAAATAAAAAATTAATTCATTACGTGTATATAAATGAAATCATATGAATTGTCGTATTTACAAGCGAATTATTTAAATACTCTTGAAAATTTTTCTTTCGTATACTTTTCAATAATTCACATGAAACGAATTCTTGCTTTGATCGTGGCTTTAGAAGTTTAACTCTAACACACATTAGACTCGTGCTCGTTTTAAACACGTGATTCCGGTGTTGCGTTACGTCTCTCTCTCTCTCTCTCTCTCTCTCTCTCTCTCTCTCTCTCTCTCTCTCTCTCTCTCTCTTTCTCTACTATTACAAACAACGTATGTCAGAATATCAGGACATATTGTATGTTAACGATATATGTGTTTACAGTTGATACAGAGAAGTTCGTCGATTGATACGAGCAAATAATAGGACGTAAGGAAATCGTAGTCGATAATAGTAAGGTTATAGATATGTATGTATACAATTCATAATAGAACGAGACGTGTTTGTATATGTATATATATATATATATATCCGTGTGTTTTCATTCTATGTTCCGTAATAGGTTAACTAACAAATCACAAGAAGAAAAAGAAAGAGGAGAAGGGGAAGGAGAGTACGAAAGAGTCATTTGAAATTTGACGACGAAGAGTCCTGATTATACGAACGAGGCACGTTAGTCGTTCTTGGTCATTCGCACAAACGAAACGAAAGAAGCGTGACGTTCATTAGAGCATTTAGATGGAGTCAACAAAATGATTAGTAAGAATTTCAAAGTATATTCGAAACGTACCATATACACAGACATATACACAACGAGATGGAGATAATTTTAAGAAAATGTTGAAACCTATAAAACGTACTTTACTATTTTATATAAATATATATATATATATATATATATATATATATATATATATATATGTACGTACATTCGTTCACTATATAATAGTATTTAATACCATTCTCGATATCGATAATACATAAATCTCTCTCTTTATTCCCATTTTGTAGGAATTATGCGATAATGAAAATATTTATATAGGTAAGTTGGTAGGTAGATAGATAAATGTGTATGTATATATATATATATTTATATTTCGAGAGTTGAGCCATAGTACGTTCGCGAATAACACGAAGGAACATTTAAACGACGAGTTTCTGCTCCGTTTCGTAGCGAGCTCGACACTTTCACCGCGAGCAGAGAACCGTAAAACGATGACGTGGATCCTTTTGCAAAGCTCCGTCGAGTTTCGTCGTTTCGATCGTTCATGTTACACCTGTGAGAACGTGGATATACGAAAATTCATAGGGGAAAAAAGGAAAAAATAAAACCAAGGAAAAGAAAAGAATAAAAAAAAAAAGAAGAGAAAAAGAAAATTATAAATTGGCGAAATGAATTTTTAATCGCAAATATATATTTGCGTGTGTGCGCATTCGTGCGTGTGGTGTCTCAATTAAAAAAAACCTTGAATTCATTCATGAGAATCGTAAGAGCTTCCTTAAAATAAATTAAATAGATACATAGATAGATGGATTTTCGAAACAGCTGATCGACAATGAATAGATCATCTATAAATAAATCTTTCATAGGTTTATATTTTGGTGAGCAGCTCCCGAGCTAACGTAAGATATAACTTTTATTTTTGGAGCAGATTGTAAAAGACAGATTTCTAGGTATATACAGGATATATATATATATACGTACATGTATATACGTAACAATGGTTGCTTAGTCACACGACCGGGTTCTTTAATGACGACATTGATGATGATGACGACGATGATAATGCTGATACGCGCTCGTACGACTCGCATCGATTATCAAATCAAGTGGATTAGTGCATAACACAAAGTGAATATGTTTTTCTATGAACATCTTTTCACAGAACCAAACTAGCGTAATAATAGCTATTCTTTTTTCTTTTTGTACGCTTATTAAAATAATTGGAATTGTTTTTTCCTTTTTTCCTTCTTATTTGTTTCTTCGATTAATTAATTATTTACATATATATATATATATATATATATATATATATATATATGTATATTCATTTATACGTCTATTAACAAATTATAAGTGTTACTTTTCTATCTTTTTCTCTTTTGTTTGTCTCTCGAGAGAAACTTATAAATCAACTTTCGTATATGTTGTCTTTTTTTTTTCTTCTTGTCTTCTCAAGATTATATTCATGTCGACCAAAAAAATTACTATATTAAAACGAGATACGTTTTTATTTATTGACGCATTATTACGGTATCAACGATATCAGGCTTTACAATGAGTGCGTTGATTATTGTTCGTTGCTTAATCATTCTTCCTTATATGTACGAATGAGAACAAATTAAAATGACGTATTCTTTTTTTTTTAGACGACTTTCTTATCAATAATCGCTCGTCACGGAAATCTCTCGTTTTGTTCTCTTTCTTCTTCGTTCATTTATTTTTCTTTCCCTTTTACATTTTTTATTTATTTATTTTTCTCTTCGATAAGAGGAAATCTTGTACTCGTTTTCTTTCTATTTTTTTTTTTCATTTTTATATGTCTTTTCCTTGTTTTATTAGTTTTTTTCTGTTTTTCTTTTTTTTTTAATTATTTTATTCATCATTATTAATTACTTATTTTCTACTCTGATAAATTTCAAGCAAATAAATCCAAGCGAGACAAGAGAAAAAAAAGAAGAAGGAAAAAAAAGAAAAGAAAAATATTATATATGTTAATAAATATAAATTATAATATTTGTGACCGAGGTATCCAATACTCGTACCATTGAAGAGGCAAAGAATACTGGCTTTGGATTTCGGTCTGATAATAAAATTATCATTTAATATTAGTCACTCTTGACGACTGTGCGTTATTAACAATATCTCGCGCACAGACAACACATTAGTGACTTATATATATAGGGAAAGGAAAGAGAATAAGAGAGAGAGAAATAATTTTTTATAAAAATTCTTATAGAGCCAGATAACGCACAACAAACAACAAAATTTGTTATAACACGAAGAGAAGAGAGAGAGAATTAGGAGAAGAGAAATAAAGGACAGATTAGAGAAAACAACGACGTATCCAAGAGAAGACTATTTCTGAAATAAAAATATCTTTTATAAAGAAATGGTTAGAGGAGAGATTTGAACCTACGACGTTGGGTTCAACAAGCAAACACGCTAAACGTTACACCAAACATCGAACATGCATATTTCTTTCTAACATTATGACGTACTTTATCGTCCATATTTATTTATAATTTTTTTTGTTGATTTTTTCTTTTTCTTTTTCTTATTTTTTTTTTTTTTTTTTTTTTTTTTTTTGTAAAATAACGAAAGAACGCAACGTATTCGTCCTTGGTTTTTCCCTTTTTGTTTTTCTTTTTTTAAACTTTTTCATTTTTTTCTTTCATATACACGTAGTTGGTATTAAAGAATGTTAAATAGTTAAAAATAATATATATATATATATATATATGCGTATATATCATAAACAATCTAATCGTATAAACAATGATGTCATAGGTATGAGTATCGATCGATTACGTGTCACACGGTAACACTCGAAAGATTATACCATTGGATAACGAATGAAAAACTCTCAATGGGAAATCATTTAATCAGAGACATGTCATCGACGAACATATATATATATATATATATACATGCATTTTCTATATGTATATATATATATATATACATATATATGTGCACGTACTTAATTACGTGTATGCGTTTTAAATGTATTCTCAAGTGTTCTGTGAAAACAACTTTTTTTTGTCTCTTTTCTACACGATAAAATGACTCGATCGAATCAGTTTTGTGAGATAAAATAATAAGAAATTAAAAAAAAAAACCTGAGATGGTTGAGTGGGATATAAGCAAATATTGATTGCTAAAATTGCTAAAAAAAGCAAATTCGAATGTATATTTTCAAAATGAAGTTCATTAAGAGATAACGATTTCTACGTAAAGAGAATTAATGATAAAGCAAGTGTTTTGCTCGAAAACAAAAAAAAAAAATCTTCTAAGATATATTCTTCGATTTTGTTTAGAATACCAACAAGATTGTCTCGAGGTGACAGTGATTTAAAAAAAAAAAAAAAAAAAAAAAGAACAAGAAGAAAAAGGGAAAAAAACGATCAATTTAATCTCTTTCCGAGAAACTTTTACACAGGCTAATTTGTTTTAATCTTTCTTTCTTTCTCAAATTGTAAAATTACGAGTCTCTGGGAACTTTCAGTTCGACCACTGTTTCCTCGTATTTTTATTTTTATTTTTATTTTTCCTACAATTTTTTTTTCTCAAGAATAATACGACTTTCCTCGATTTTCTTATTTTTTCTTACTTCCTTACTTCCTTTTTTTTTCTTCACGCGTGCCAAGAAAAAAAAAAAAGAAAAAAACAAAAAAAAAAAACAAAAAAATAAATAAAAAAAAACAAAGAAAAGGGGAGAAAAAATATTCACGATAATGTCGTCGGTAACAAGTTACAAGAAATCAATGATAAATAAACGTGAATCGTTTGCTCTTTTAATGTCGGCACGTTCGACCGAATGGATAATTCACGTGTGGTTGTTTCGTAGTAGTAACTACTACCTACAACTTATAAGAACGGAAAAGGCCAAGCGAAAGGAAAGTTCTTTGCAAAGGAAAGGAGAGCAGACAATGAAAGAAGAAAAAGACGGAGATCCTTTTACATGGATCGAGTATAACGTCGTAATACTAACAATTATTATAATGCACACGTCATTTTTTTTATAGTGAGGAGAGAGAAAGAGAGAGAACGACGAGAGAGAGAGAGAGAGAGAGAGAGAGAGAGTGAGAGAGAGACAGAAAAAAAAATAACGAAAAAAAGATTAAGATAATAAAACAAATAATTGTCACTGACAAGATAGGTATCTCTTCGTACAAGCTCGTACCGATAATTTACTACACGGAAAATTCTGATATTACTTCGAGTAATCGTTACATAAGATCTGTGGGAGTATGTCTGTGTACGTGTATGTGCATACATGTGTATGCACGGAATAAATGTTGTGTACAGACACAACAGAAGCCACCGTTAAACGCGTGATCAGAGAGGCAATAATTAAATTCCAAATATTCGAACGTACGAAGATACATACCTAACATAATTACATATACGGTTTTATCAAAGAAAATGTTTTATCTGAATTACAACGAAAAGAGAGAAAGAGAGAGAGAGGGAGAGAGAGAGAGAGAGAGAGAGAGAGAGAAAAGAAAAGGAAAAGAAAAAAATAGAAAAAATCCGTATCGATTATAATTACGTGTTCGTATTTTAGATTTTATTTGACTTGCGAAAAATTTTCTATTATAAGTTGAACAAACGATGGAAAGAATAGTTTGTTTCTTTTCTATCGATGCTTTTCAAACACTCTCTCGAGAGATTCTTTTAATTCATTTTCTTTTTTCTTTTTCTTTCTTTTTTTTTTTTTTTTTTTTTTTGCTTTGTCTCAACCAATCGCAAAACAACGAGCCTAGCACATTAACGATTATAGCATTAACAACAATTTTAACGTAATTGATATTTAAAATGATTGATAAACTTTTGATCCCTCCTCCCCCACCCCTTCCTCCACCCACTTCCTCCCCCGATCAAGCCTGTATTTAATTAATTATTAAAAGATTAATTAAAAATTATTATTGAATTTTATCGATGATCTAGAACGATCCTGAGCCATACATTTTAGATTTAATGAAATTGGTAAATAAACGACGACTCGTTTTGGGATTACCGTAATGGATAATAAAATAATTGATTCGAGGGATGCTGGTTTGCGTGAGTCAAGCGGATATAACCGAAGAGTTACCAGGAGTGGGTCATCGTTTAAACGTAATAGGAAGAAGGGTGATCAAGAGAAGAGAAGAGAAGAGAAGAGGGACGGACGAACGGATTCGCTTATTCGATTTTATCCCGTCTCATCTGGAAGCAACTTGTTGTTTCGTCATACCTACCGATAGATCGAAAGCGACTAGCTCTAAACCGGTTAGAAGTTTCTTTATCGTCAAGTCCTACGCTAACAATGTTTCACTTGCATACATATGCATCTATATATATGCACATATACGTGATTGATTTTTCAATTAATCCGTGATTGCTTATCGATTTATAATCGGTTTTCGAAACAAATAAAATTGATTCATTTCTTTCGATAAATAAATAAATAAATGAATAAATACATACATATATATATATATATATATATATATATATATATATATATATATATATAGTGATAGAGTAATAAAAAGATATAAAAGGATCGATTAAAATGAGACGTCCTGTGCATGTACGAATCGAGAAGACGATTGTGATTACCTATTAAGGATAAAGGTTATTTAATTAACTACTTCTTGCACCCACATATTCTTTGCGTGGGTAAAAAAAAAGAGAAAGAGAGAGAGAGAGAGAGAGAGAGACGCACCTTAAACGGTACAGAATCAAAACCGTACGAGAGTGACGTTCATTGATTATTAATGACAATATATTTCGATAAGTCTCTTAATAGGGAACGATGCCTACAGAATGAATTAGTTATATGTATATATATATATGTCATAATAGATTCAACGATCTATTGATCGATCGATCGATCGAAGAAAATTCTATACGTACATACATATTCTTAACATTTTCTTAGCAAGCAAAAGTTTCCATTGCCACGTTGGAAACATCTGATTCGAAGGAGAGATAAGAATCTAAGCTCTCGCGCGCTGCGGTAGGTATATAAATACATATATATATATATATATATATATATATATATATATATATATATACAAATGTATATACTAAGAGACAAGAACGCAGGAGAACTCGTTTCCGCGTGCTGAGAGTATGTTAGCAGCTTGATGTTGACGTCTCGGGTGGGTGGCAAACTGGTGGATCGAATCGTGTTGAAATTACGTGGGATTAAGCGAGAAGGAAAGATTTCAAAGAAAAAGAAAGGACAAGAGAGAGAGAGAGAGAGAGAGAAAGGGAAAGAGAAGATAAAGATAGACGCATATAGGTCCTGCATATATATATATATATATATAGAACACATTGCTCGTTATCATTATGCAAATGATCCAGGCAGACATTAGAAAAGATCATACACGTGTACGTGTACATATGCAAATACATACATACATCTATGTATCTATGCATATCATTATTTCCCTTTTTCTTTTCTCCTTCGAAAAGTCATTGAATCAAAAGATGAGCTAACTTAATACTAAAAATAAATTATTTTGCAAGTCTCTGAGTCATTTTAAAATGACGATAATGTATTGTTGATCGCGTTGATAAGCCTCGTGCTAAATGACGTTTTCCTTTTCCCTCTTACTTACTTACTTAATTACTTACTTACTTACTTTCTTCACGATGATCGATAAGAAGAAAAATAACAGTAAGTACATATGTATCTCGTTTTTTCTTTTTCTTTTTTTTTATCATTATCTTTCCTTTCTTATTTCTTTGATATTAAAAAATAATGAGGATAAAAATCAAAGATAAGCGGACAAGTTATTCGCGGGTATGGTTTTATTGCGCTAATCGGATTTTCTACAGGATGCCATTGACCCGCGCACAAAGGGGTGGGGACGGGAATATCGATTTACATATAATTATAATTAGAAGGAGTAAAAAAATAAAGACGAATCGTAGAAAAGTGTCTGCATGTATCATACGTCTCTCTCTCTCTCATCGAGAGGTCCAGTTCGATAACCTACTATCCCTCTCCTCCCATCTCCCTCTAACGTCTTCCTATCCTCCTTCCATCGCACTCTCTCACTTTTTCTACCCTACGATCGTGTTCCAATGTAATCTATGCCTTGTTTACGTCGTTTATCGCTTTACGCTACGCTTTCGGCATGGCCGAAAAATTCATATCATTAATAAAAACGATATCCAATTAAATCAATTAAAGGATAATAATTGGACTTGCCCGATTTTATTAGATATTATTCAATTCGTTTGACGAAAGGAATGAAAAAAAAGAGAAAGAAAAAAAAAAAATATGCGAAGAAAAAAGAAGCAAAACAAAACGATATATAAATGACGTATCTGAATTAGTTGACGAAACGTTGTAATTATATAATATTATTTTTTTGTTTAATTAATTCAATAAAAAATATGTTACGTTGACATTAATTAAAAAAGAAATGATATTAAAAGTAATAATAATAATAATAATATATATATATATATATATATATATATATATTATATACTTGTATTTTATTACATATCCGACATAAATAACTTCTTATCGTAGATAATAAGAACATCGTAAACAATTTTACGATAGCCAGACAATTTTTTCTTCTTTTTTTTTCTTTTTCTTTTCTGTTCTTTTTATTTTCAAAAAGACACGACGACGTGTTTACCTCACGCGTTAAAGGCATGTTTATATGTACGTATGTATGCATGTATAATATATACATACGTATTTATGTATGCTATATTTTCATGCAGACGAACATATTTTTTTCAAATGTGAATGCTTAAAGGTCACGACTAAGAAAAAGAAAAAGATAGAAAGAGAGAGAGAGAGAGAGAGAAAGTTTATTTCTTCATAACGCTTTCCTGTTCATTTTCAACGAGTATAATTCGTAAATACTATTTTTGGCAAACCTGTAATGCTCATTCGAAATTTTCTGATAGATAGTCTTTTTTTTATATCATCTATCTACATACATACGTATATACACATTATATATATATATGTACCTACATATAGGAAAATATAATGAGTATGGGAAAACTTGAAAAATTTACATAATACCCAAAGTAATATATGCACCTTGGTATTATGCGCATAATTAAAAAAAAAAAAAGAACAAAAAAAAAAGAACACAAAATCTCTCTCTCTCTCTCTCTCTCTCTCTCACTCTCTCTTTCTATTTCGCGGTAACATAAGAATATTCATAATTACTTTCTCGTAGCATCGGTGACGAAGTTAATTAAGTCGTGAAGAATGTAGATACTTTCGAACGAGCTCGCTGGTACAAGTTATTGAAATTTGGATTCTACTCACATAGGAGAGGATTAAGTCACGTTTCAAGGCTTGAACTTACTCAATGTAACGACGCGCTTATTCCGATATGTGTGCGTGCCTGTAGATCTTTTTATTTTTCTTTCTTTTTTTCTTTTTTTTTTTTTTTCCCTTTTTTTTTTTTGTTATTGACTCACGTCGAACAGAACTTATTTTAAGAAATAATTATTGGCTTTTCCCCTCCATCATCACATCCCTTCACACTCCTTCCTCCCACGTATTAATACTACGAACTTGTTAAAGAGAAAGAAAGTGAGAAAGAGAGAAAAGAAATAGAAATCACAACGTGGAATTTGATTTCGCGGAAAGATTTAATATATTTTTCCTGTTACATTCTATTACAAATTTACAACGCGTAATATCGCGTATTGTTGGCTTTGGTCCATTTCGAGGAAAAATATAGCACGTTGCCACGTGTGAGGCATTAAAAATTTTCCACGTATAAACGCTGTAAACAAGAAGACGATAGGAGGAATGGTATGGAATTAGAGGACACCTTCGTAAATCAAAAGAATCAGATAGGGATTAAGGTCATTAGATTGAGTCCGATCAAGTTCGTTAGGTTTGAGCAAACGTTGATAAAGCGTTAGAATGATACAAGGTTGTCTTTTAAAATCATTCTCGTAACTCGATTGAAATAAAATCGTATGGCCGTTTAATCTTAGATCGGCTCTATCGTTCCAACTAGTGCCAATGTTGGTGACGTTTCTGTCGTGAAGGCTAACGAAAAGAAAAAAAAAGAAAAAAATAGGAAAAAAGAGAGAGAGAGAGAGAGAGAGAGAGAGAGAGAGAGAGAGAGAGAGAGAGAGAGAGAAAGAAAAACCTATCTCCATTCATTTCCATTTCATCTTTATTTATCTTCCTTCGTTCTTTCGTACGCGAGAGACAATGAATTCGTTCATAACTAATAAGAAACATAAAAAAAAAAAATAGAAAAAAAAAACAAAAAGAGAGAGAGAAAATACAAAAAAAAAAAAAGAAAAAAGGAAAACTCAGTCCGTCAAGGTTAACCTCGATCATTCTGATTTATAAGTTTCTTCTTTACGATTAGATCGTCTTTTATTGTAAAAGGATTTGTCAATGTGAAAAAAAAAAAAGAAAAAAAAGAAAAGAGAGAAAGAGAGAAATAGAGAAGGGAATGTGAGAAATGAAAAAGGAAAAAAAAAAAGATACAAAAAGAAACGAAATATTATTTACATTTTACTACGATGTACGTTCTATGATTACGAGGTGAAATCGTATCGGAGGCGTCTAACTGTCTGGGCAAGCAAATCTCGCACTGGCTGTCGTCCAAAGAGCGAGTAAGAGTCTCTCAATCAGTCACGTAATTTACTTGAATAGAAAAAGAGATGAAAAAAAAAAAAAAAAGAAAAAAGAAAAACAAAAAAAAAATTATCTCAATGCGTTGAACGTGACAATAATAATAGTTTTACATAGGATGACCCAAAAGTATCTAAGCTTTTAGTTTTGCAATCTAATAGTAAAAGAAAAGAAAGATAAAAATTAACTTGAATAATCTCAATGAAGGGATAACTTAAGAATTGATTATTAAATCTTGACTCACCCTATATTAAACTTGTCGGAATTTATTCGTCGTTTATTATTATTATTCTTTATTTATTTATTTTTTTTCTCTTTTCTATGTGGAGAGGGGAGGGAATCGTCGATGGCGAGTTCCATATGCTTATTTTTTCTTTTCTTATATATATATATAAAATAATTAGAATATTAGAAGGGGAATATTAGAAAAAAAACGAAAGAAAAAGAAGAAGAAGAATGAGGCGCATGATGCAGCTCGTTTCTTTCTTCGGGTTCTTCCCTTTCAAGTATTATTCTCGTTTCAAGCTGAAAGCCCAACAAAACGAAAATGATTTTAAAGAGGGGCAAAGAGAAGCTCGTAGAATTCCGAGTAAGAAGCGAAGAAAGAGACGTTTCTCTAAATACATTTTGCGAGCTCGGAGCAATTCGCGTGTCCAAAAGGAGACAGATGCGTTCTTCTAACAATCGGTTAACTAAAACGAAACGATCAAATGAAAACGTAAACGAATTTCTATTGCAACGTTGAACACGTTCGATCTATA